AGTAAACTGCTCCCAGAACGTTTCATTTGGGAACAGCTGTAACTGTACGAAGGAGCATCTACATATGAGGACAGAATGTCCTGTCCGTTTCTGGTAATTTGGGTAACCAGTGCTACAAATACAGGCCAAAAATTACTTTTCCTGTTAATCTCAACTGTGAGCCATTTCAAACTGCCTTTTCTACTGGAATTTGTGTTGCAACAAGTATTCATTCGTACCCTCTGTGTCATTGGTTCTGTGAGGCATTTTAACAGCCTTTGCTCATGCACAGAATGTTTCAGCATTATAAATATTGCAAACTACTCTAGTGAATAAATAACTTATATTGGCAAGAAAGTTTACTGGTTGTACTTGTTTCATTCGGGAAACTGATTTAAACTTGCAGTAGTCAGAAGACTTGCTGCTGCAGTCTTGACTAAACTGTGGTCTTTGTTAACATAAGGTCTTTGTTGATTCCCCCCCCCCCCCCTTCACAACACTTCTTAGTTATATTAAGCTGTAGGTTCCTTTGTCAGATAACCTCCTGTGCTTTACTCTTCCACGTGCACTTTCTTTATCTTTCCCTCATATGCGTGCCATTTGCTTACTGCTGCTGGGTGTTCTGAGGCAAGAAGGGAACAAAGATGTTTGCTTGTGTTGCCTTTGGGCTAGTTCTGATGCAGCTAATTCCACAGCTATCTGCAAGGTGCTCTGCATGTGAAATAAGTTTCCATTTTCCAGAAATGTCCAGCCAATGCTTGTAAGCATTAAATAAAACAGTGTAATAGGGAAAACCCTTTTTCTGTATTTAACCTATAATTTGAAAGCTCTATCTAATTATTGGCATGGGGCATGCTGTGTATGGGGTGTTCTCATATTTTGTGCCTTTGTGCTAAAGAGTTCACACTGGAAGTTTTCTGAATTAAGACTTTCTGATGTATTTAAGGATTGTACTAGCATCATGCTCTGGACTTGTTGCAAGGTGTTCTAACCTCTATTTAGAAGTAGTCTTTTCCAGGAGTTAGCTTCGTATCTGAAAAAGTACTAAAGCCTTCAGTGTTTATAATGAAAAGCCTAAGCATTAAATGTGCTTGCAGCCAGTCACGTTCCTTTTCATTTTATTGAATTTTGTAAAAATTGACCCATTCTTAATATAAATAAATGCACATGCAATAAACTGTGGGAAGTAGGTATTTCAGTGTCATGCATGTGTGATTTCGTGTTCTGTACAGTAGGTAGCATTTGAAGTTTTCTCTATGCCAATTGGAAAGATGCACTTTTCTGCTTATGAACTTAAAAATGTAAACAAAGTGTTTGAATTTTTTTTAATAGGTTCTGGGAGCTAACAGTGATTTCTAACAGTGATTTAAGTTACAGGTGAGCCAGTCTGAGAGCTTGCTGCTGCCAAAAATGTGAAGTCCCAGTTGTTTATTTCTCTGTTCCTTCTTCCAGCTGGGAGTGAATGAAACCAAAAGAATACGTTGGCTCTAGGGTTTGTCCCCGTCGCAGGGTAATCCATTTCTACTTACTAATGCAATAGAAAGCTCTTTTGGGTGTTGGAGTATTGAGTGAGTATTCTGGTGGTTTAGAAGACTGAGCAGGCTCAGTGCTGTTTTTGAGCAAAGTTGCTGGTGGGATGGGGAGACAGGTGAGTCTTTCCTTTTCCTGACAGCAATGAGGCATTAGGCTGGCTCAAGCTATAACGTGTAAGTTGTTGCTTTTAGCTGTAGGAGTTGGGGAGAGGGTTTTTGTTTTTTTTTTTAAATACTTTGAGGAAAGCATGTGGAAATATTTTTCCAAAAACTCATTTGGAAAGGACTTGGACAGTTTTTCTCTGGACAACAGAGAACAATTTTACAACTGTGTTGCTTCTGAGCCAGCTGTTAATTTTTTTTTAATACAGAGAACATATCTATGAATTATGTGAATTATGTTAGATTTTTTAAAAATATCCTACAACTCCTAAATGCAGAGAACAGTAATAAGCTGCCTGAATTTCTTAAAATGCTCTGCTAAAAATAAGCCCTTGTAGATTTTTCCCAGCTGATAGAGTTGAAGATTCATTTGGTGAATGAATTGATCTTGCAGAGTAATTCAGGCTAGCTGTAGGATGTCACTTTTACAGTGGCACACGCTCCTGAGAATAGGTTAAACTGGAGGATTTGGGATTAGAAATATCTTAATATCTTGATACTCAACCTGATCATCTGAACAGGCTGTATATTTATCCTAGAAGCAGGAGAAGGAAGTAAATGCTGCCGCTCCTCCCTTCTGGTGTGAGTGAAAGTGTTGGGTAGGCCCTGCACAGTGTATGCTCACAGGTGAATTCCCCTCTGAAGGGGCAAGTACAAATGGTCTGCCACCTCTAGGGTATCCCACAGCGGGCTCCTAGCATTGTTTTTCCTGGGCAACTTTAGTGCAGGCTGTTGCGATGGGAGGGTATCTGTCCCCAAAATTGGTGAATGCTCTGAAGTATCTCATTCTTGTTCCTATGAACTTGTGTCTCTTGGCATGGAAATGAGACTGCTGTACAATATTTTTCCATCGGTGTGACCCTTGCTGAGAAGCTGTGATGTTTGAAAAGGCTCATTCACTTGTTATATTAAATAAAGGATTCTGCATGGAAAACACCTTGTTACCCTTATTATTTTCAGATGACTTCAAAGGCAGCAATAAATTGTGTCAGTCTGTGATTAAAAATTATGAATTGTTTTTGTTTCATTTGGGGGGGGGGAAGGTTTAGACTTGTTTGGTAAACTTTTCGTTTATTTTAGTCAAACTTTTGCATTAGTTCTCTCATTGACATCTAAATGTGTCCAAACTTGGTTTATCACTGTAACACAGCATTAAACTTAGATGAGACACGAGAATAATTGACTACTGAGTGATAGAACTTGTAATAAGCATGCTTATGTGTCAAATTTAAAATATAAGATACAGTATATATAAGTCTATATGTATAATAGTTGCTGTTGGCCAACTTCTTAGGGTTACAGTCCGTGTTCCTTCACTGAGTAAAAAAAATTCAATAGTTTAAACTTTTTTTTAAATCAGTTTTAATCAAGAAACTTTGCAAACAATCTTGAAACTTTTTGTATTTGTGAATGACAGTATGGAGTCTGTCAACTTACTGTTTTGTACGTTTGCAGTAGCAAGGCACTCTGCTGTCTTAGTTCTTCTGCGCTAGAAGAGTTCCATTCACAAAGCTACTGTGTGGTGGCAGCAGACTTTCCAGACAGTAGTTGTTAATGTGGCTCAGGTGCTGAGCTGTGTAGACAGGGTCTCTCTGCAGCTTAGGATCTGAACAGTGTTTCATGGGAGTGCTGACCTAATCCTGCAAATTTAAATCTTATTGTTTAAATTCCTCCTTTAACAAGGCCCCAGCTGCCACTCCCTTCTTCGATGGATGGGAAAGGGTATACTGCACTACTGTATGGACATTTCTTGTTCACTTCCTCAGTGGCGTGACTTCCCCCCCACCCCCCCTTTTTTGGAAGGGAAGTTGATTTTCTTACCTTGTCAGGAATGTGTGCTCTAAAACATTGATTCCATGTTAAATATTTACATTTGGTCTTAATCTCTACAGTTAAATTCTAGATAAAGTCCTTTGGACATGCATCAGTTGGTGCCTAACTGGCTTTTAGACTGCTCTAGCCTTTGACATAACAAAAACCTGCTTATGCTGAGGCTACTTTCTTGCTTTAAGTGCTCTTATTTCGGGGAGTAGAGTCCCAGACTAGTATTTTTTTTTTTTTCCCCTTTCCCTCCCTCCCTCCATCTGCCAAGATTTATTTTGAAACGGAAGGCAGGCAGCTTTTCAGTACAAACCTACATCTTCAGAGCCTGTCTTAAGTAGACAAGATAAATTTCCTTAAATATTTCAAATGACTTTTGAGTGTCACAAGGCTTATTTAATTGGAGATTAAGGGCAGTATTCAGTAGGCGGCAACACTTTTAGCTTCCTGCTAGCTGTCTGGGACAGATTTCATAGCTTTAAACCTCAAAATTTTAATCCTTATTTGAGTTTTTGAGTTCTAATACTTATTTGGACTCTTTAAGGTTAAGATAATTAATCCATCCTTCCAGGGGAAGGATGTGTAATTGACAGTGGGAGTAAAATCCCATGTGGAAAGTGGAAAAACAAGTTTTTTTTTATGCAGACAGAAATATTTTGTCAGCTTTGTCCATTTTGAGAAACTTTGGAGAGAGCTTTTCAGTGACGTTGCCAAAACGGCAAATAAGAATTCAGTTGTGTTTTCAGTCTTTATCAGCGGTAAACGTGGCATTCCCTGTATGAGCTCAAGAACTTCCTCCTCTTCAGCAATTTGTGCTGCAGGCTTTACTAGATAACAGCGGTGGTGGAATTGTTACAGGCTCTGGGGCCCTGCTTAGCCAGATGTCTCACAGCAATTGCTCTATGGATTGAGATCACTTCTGGAACGGCTTCCCTCTTGCTGCTGAGGAGAAGAGCAAGTGCTGAGAGGAGAAGTTGTGCAAGCGTAGGACTCTCTTCAAGGGAAGATTCTTTCTTGCCTGGTGGGGCTGTCGGAAAACAGTGTGATTTCTTCCAGTATCAGCAAGGAGAAAGGTGAGCTGCAGTTAATGCAGAAGGAAGTTGGCCTTCTCTCCTATACTGCAGGAGAGGTTTATGGTGATGCGGAAATTGTGCCTGATCCCCTGCAAGACCCAAGGGAAAATGCTGATAAAGTACTCTGGGAGTACTCTGCATCTTTTGCTACTGTGAGATTGAGGAATGTATTCCACCTCGCCCACAGATCCCGCAAACTTGTTTTATAATCCTTCCTTTTCATGCTACGTAGTCGCTCCCAGATTTCACTGGGTGGCAAAGGCCCCTGCAAACCACGTGCGTTTCATCACCCAATGACCACTGTTGGCTTACTGCCGAACGGTCCTCTGACCTTTCAGATCATATAGCACTGCCCTGTTTTGACTAACTTTCAGCCTTTCTTTCCAGTCTCCTAGGACTCATCACTGTCCAGTGCCCCACATGATTGGTTTCCTGTAGACTCACAGGACTCCCCGTGCCATCCTTCCAAGCCTCCCACATAGGAGGGCATAGCTTTTTCCACAGAAAACCTCTCCCTAGCTAGTATTTCTTTATCCCATATACTGTCATGATGCAATACCTTACATCCAATTTTTCCTCCACCAGAGTCATTTCCCTTATCTGTCTTGTCCCTACGTAGACCCAGCTTCTTCTGCATAGAGGTAGGTGACGGCGGAGGGGGGGAGTGCTGGCGATAGAGAGCGGTTTTATGACCTGCTGGCATTTTGAAATGAAGTTGGAGGGTAAAGGCTGACTGCCAATTTAAACTTTCGCTTTATTCAGGTCTTACTAGTAGTTTAAAATACCAAATGAATTGAACTGGTGCAGCCTGTTGGTTAGACCTGTCTATTTTTGTTTTGAGATGTTCTTTTTTGTTCTTTTGCTCAGGTTGTTGGGAGCAAGTTTAAACTTTAGTGGATTTATCTTGATTTTTCAAGAGTCTTCTAAATTAAATGGTCTTTCTTGCGTTCTCTTTGAAATGGCTTCAGCCAAAAGAGTATTTCTCTGCTCTTCCTCTAAATACGCCTTATTCAAATGATACTTCTTCAGTAATGTTTGTAATGGCTACTATTAAAACTGACATCAAAATGTGCTGACTCAAGAATGCTAAGAATGAAGCACAAATGTACTTTAGAGGCATTAAACTTTTTTTATATGCAGGGTTTTTTCTAGAGAGAGTAGTTCCAGCTGTGTTGAAGGACAGCTGTTTCTAATGTAATCTTAATTCTCACCAGAAATCCTAAATCAACTTCCAGTACATTGCAGTTGAGGTTAGTGTAAAGAATACATATCCTGATACAAAACTCTATATAAAGCGACTTGTGAAGCATGTTGATTATTTATCATAGCTAAAGCTCTACTCTTTCATTTTTGAGCCGTGGTTCATAGGCTGTCGCTGTGTCGTTGTTGAAAGAAATTTGGCAACTTCTCCCGAGTCTTACTAGATACTATCCGCATTGTACAAACTGACAGCGTCTGGCATGGTATCTTAAGTGGGCATTGGCATAATGATTATTTTTAACCTTTGAGAGGGTCTCTTGAACAAAAATTAGTTTTTAACTTTACAGAGTCGAAGTCGTCGTCTTACTCTCCAAATAGGAGCATCATCCATTAGCTCAGAGTCTTATGAGGAAGAACGATCCTCTGCGCTGTAATTTGACCTATGACCTGAACTTTTTTCTCACACCTTCCTCTTCCTAGTTAGTTTAATTTTTCATGTATGCCATCTTTTATAGGCATTGTAAGATGTCTAGCTTTGAACAGGTAGTTTGCTGTTAATTGCTTAGTTTTGCTTTATTATAGTTGAAAGACAGCCTAGTATGTCTCTAAAAATGACTTTTAAGTGTTTCTTCCTGGTAGAAGACGACCCTGTGCTGGCATGATAGACTGGCCTGTAGAGGAGTTTGAATTTTACAGTGACCGGTCATCAAGTGCTTCTTCTCAAGTGCAGAGTGAGCTAAGAAGTGCTGCTGTTAGCATGGTGATTGTTAGTGGGAGCAGCTACAAGAATATTTGGGTGCCTGAACTTTCCTGGGATCTGCAGGTAAAGTCAAATACTGTAACAAAACTCATTGCTATACTTAATTTGCTGCTGGTGGGGAGAGGGTAGGTTTTGGGGGGGTTGAGGGGGGTCTTGTTTGTTTGGGGTTTTTTTCCCCTGGAATAGGTGAGGCTGCAGGTGGCAAGTACGTTCATGATTTGAATCGAGCCTTCCAGTGCTTCTGTGGATCAAAAGACGATGAGCAATGCAGTGCAGCAGACTGAGTAGCTGTGGCACTGTCGTTTGGGGATGGGCAGAACGGCCTGAAAGTACAGCACTTGAGCACAGGCCAGTCACACCCGCCTCTGTTGCGTCATTAAACTGGTTCTTGGTTTAGTGTTGGTAGTGACGTGATTTCCTTTATATGCAGGCGACGAGTGTTTTTCAAGTGCCCGTTAAGTTTGTCTATAGATGTATACAAAGCCATTTTTGCATGCTGTGTCTCTTTAACATGTATTCTTTGAGATTCCCCCTACAGAGCACACATCCCTTCATGCAGTTTCATGTATCTTCCTACAGTTGCCCAGTGCTCCTGAATTAAGAGGTTTCTCTTCCTTTTCAGTAGGTTTCCTCACCAAATACGCTACCATAGAAATAGCTCTTTTTGCTTTGCTTGCAAACAGAATGGGCAATACAGCGTGGGTTTTGAACAGCAAGGATGGAGGTGGGCCTCTTGCATGTTGCCTGTGAATGGAAAAGAGTAAAGAAGACAGTAGATCTGCATCACAAAAAAAGTATTTTGCTCGCATCTCAGTTGAATTTTTCTTTTGAAGGCTGCTGTGTGGCCTGCTTATAGAATAAGTTAGCCTTGGTTTTGTTGTATTTTATTGCGTGTTCTTGCTTCCATTGTAATTCACTCAAAATAGCAGCAGCTACAGGGGAAAGAGAAGGCCAAATGAGGTGCAGCAGAATTAGCGGCAGTTTTCTTTGAAAATTTTGTTGGATGCTTCAGATCATCGTTTGGACTGGTGCAAGCAGTATGTCTATAAACATTGTTCTTACTGCAGGATGAGAACAGGTTGATTGTGTAAAATGATGCTCGTTTCTATGTGTTTTTTACTCTGATTTTATGTTCCGTTACATGCAAAATGTTGCTAATGATACAGTTACAGATGTAGGCAGCTTTCCTTGTTTTGTCTTACCAAACCTTGAGCAGCTTGCTTTGTTTTCCCAGCCTTGGCTCTCATCTGTAAAACGGAAGTGGTAGTTCTCTTGCTTTTTTTTTTGTTTTGTTTTTTCTTTAGACATCCAAAGGACAACTTTTCAAAGTAAAAGTTATGTATTACTATGAGTTACAATATTAAAAAAAAAAAATACTGTTTTCAAAAAAAGGTGAAGCTAGAGCAGTAGTGGTTGGTCTCTTAAGAGTGCAAATGCTTTAAAGAGCATAAAGAGGAATTGATGTGTAACCTAATTGGTTGAGCAAAACAAAACTGCCTGTACTGTAGGTTAGCAGAGCAAGCAGCCTTGTCAAGAAATGGAGGAGATGCTGATATTTGTTACAGCTAGAAATTCTAAGGTTTTGTTCAAATGCATTGTGGAAATCTTCCTTCTTCCTCTCAGCATGTCTGATGTAGGTTTGCTGATAAATGTATACTCTGATGTTAAAAAAAAGGTTGGGATTTTTAATTGAATCATTAAGCCTTTGGGAAGCTTCAATAGATGTTCTCTATTTTTTTTCCTAAGTGTATAATATAAGCTTTAGTGGAGCTCAGGCTGGCTGATCGTGGCGAGGTTCTTCTCCCCCCGCCCCCTTTTTTTTCTCTAGGCCTTAGGATCTGTACACTTCTGGATCTCTCTGTTCATCCCCTTCCTCTGTGCACCCTGGGGACAACAGAATTGCTTGCATTGCCCTTAGTGTTCTCATATCATTTGCAGCTGTGTATTAGGATAATAGCTATAACCGAATATTATGCTTCAGGACTTAAGCCTGCTGAGATCAGGAAAAGTTGTCTTCTCCCTGTGCTGCTGCACATCTTTCCCTCTCCTCTCTCTTTTCGCAATTAACGAGATGGTGGTGGTGCGTATGTGTTTCTGAAATGTTTGGCCACGGCTAGATTGACCACAGGAAGGAGTAAAAGTGCTTTGAGGCAGAGTAGGGAACCCTCCATCTTAGATGCCTGCACAGCTTGCCTTGCTGTACGCTCAAATTAGGAGCAAGAGTTGGCTGAAGTCTTTTCCATCTCTTATCTGCCAGGTCAGACTGGCAAGAAATGCCTGAGGTCTTTTTCCTCCCTTACCGGTATGGACCAAGGCTCACTTCTTAGGGGCATCTGAAATTTACTTTGCTAAATAATTTTTTTACCTATTGTAGAAGCTCCATCAACCTTCAGCATCTCTGCTGTTCGTTCTTCTGATCTCTAAAACACTGTTGTCATTGTATCTGACAACATAATAGTCTGCAACATACCTGCAGTGTGATGTTAAGGATTTACAGGAAGCTTCTGGAAGGAAAACTCAAGGCTGGAATAGAAGGGCTTGCTGCGAGTCACTTGTGTTTTTTTCATTGGATAAGAAAGATCCTTTTTAATGATTACTCGGTCAGGGAAAACTTGACATCTGTCTGGAAACCTGTAAGACTGACCAGGTTGTATAGTCATGCTTTCAAATACTGTTGTGAGCGTGTTCAAAGTATGTTAACGGGAGTCAAGTATAACTGTCCCACTTTAATAAGCCCCGAGTTTGTTTGTTCTCAAATGACGTAATGAAGCTTAGCTTGACAGTGAATCCTCTTTTGAATTTCTATCTTTTGCCAAGATGGCAGCTTCTCTAAGGTGTTTTTGTTTCAGTTATAACGCGATAGGCACCCTCTGTCTACTTCCTACTAATATTTTTAAAAGATTTTAGTTATTTAAAAATTTCACTTTACATATTGCAGCTACGTTCTTGAAGTCATTGCTAAGTAAGATTGTGTTTTCTGTTTGAATTAAACATAGTTTTGCCTCTTTTCCCGCATCTGCTTGTTACTGTTTATTAATCCTTTTTTGGACATGAAGTTCCAAAGCTTAAACTGACTGGGAAAAGAGGCTACAACACTGTGTGTGTTATGACAACTGCGTAATGAAGATTCTGGAAAATCTGAACTAATATGTTTTTTAAATACATATATTTGCCTTTTGAAGGTAGGCTAAGGTAGGCTTAAAGCTATATAATTTCCATTCGCAGCCTCATTCTCTTTTCATACTGAAAATTCTGACAAATTGGTAACACTAAGATGTTGGCTTCTGCAGCTATGAGAGCTGTTCTTCTAGAAAACACCTACGTTTCTACCCTCTACTTAATTAAAAGTTTATTAAAAAATCTTTTTAAAGACAACTTCTGTTTTTATGATCTCTGCCTAAGGAGTATTTCAAAAGTATCTTCAGGTTGTCTTCATAAAGGACCTGCCGTGAGACCTAATGCAATCTAGGGTGCTGCTCTTATGGGAATTAATTTAATATCCACTTGGGTTCTCTGGCTGGAATCTTGGTTCAGGAAATTGAACACAGTGGTTGATAAAGCTCTTTCTTTTCAAGGGAGCATCTGTTTGGCTAGATGAGAGACAGGCGCTGAAATATACTGGATGGAATAAAGGTTTTACTGTGTGCCTCTTCCGTAGAGCAAATTTCAGATGCAATTAGA